TAAAGAAGCCAACTTGCCTTCATTTGTGTCCTGTTATAGCAGCCATCTGTCAAGCAAGCATTTTAGTTCAAAATAATAGAAGCACAGTAAAGCAGGGGTTCTGCCCAAACCTCATCCACATATAGCACTTCCAGGAAAAAAAGAAATTAAAAAACAAAGAAAAAAGACAACAAAAAGAACAACACACCACCCCCCTGCTTGAATATCAAATTGGTTCAAATGTTGTAAGAGTTATGACTAGAAATACTACTTTACACTGGGAAAAATATTGTTCCAGTTTAAACTGCAAAAAGAAATTTGGAAATACCAAACAGCTATACACCTGGTCAGGAGTTTGGAGTTTGCAAGAACCACTGTAAGAAAAGTCCAAGGCCTCCCTTGGAGTGCCACTTAACACAACATTTTTAACCCAGCCATTACTTAACATGATACTTTATTGTTTTCTCTCTTTCTGCAGAACACACAGCACACAAGTCCATGGCAGCTTACCAATTCACATAGTTCATGCTTTGAGAACTCACCTAAAATAACCGAAGGCTCACATGATGTTAAATGTATTAACAGCCTGAATTTTTATTGCTGAGAGAGGATAGGTTTTGCCATGTCTGGCAAAGATGTTTCTATGTTCTACCTGACATGCTGGACTGATGAGGAGTTGCTCTGATCTACTGTATGACCTTCACTGAAGAGCTGTAGCTACTCTGAATACAATCGGATTGCACAGGGAAGTTTACATTCCCTATCAGTTGCAAACAATGAATCTGTATGCTCACATTCCTGCATACAAGAATTTTCTTTAAAAAAAAAAAAAACAAAACAAACAAACAAACAAAAACCACCAAAACACAAAACAGTAGCTCTGAAAAAACTTCTAAGTAACAAGATGGCACAAGAACCACTAGTAGAGGTCAGCAGCAAGACAGTCCTGATAGTTACCAATCCACTTGCCTCTGGCACCAGGCAAAGTTGAGCAGCTCAAGAAGCAAAAAACAGGAAAAAGGTTTTCAAATGTTGGGGCAATAGATTTGTACTGAGCAAAATACACTTGCTCCTACTGCAAGCACAACTCCTACAGACACAAAATATATTGTCTTCTTTTTTTCCACCCTGTATTCAGCAGTGTGTTTAACCTTGGAGCTGTCAAGCTCCATCATGAATAATGAGCCATGACAACACTTCAAGTGATCCTTGGAGAACAGACCAATTTTTCCTATATGCTAGGCAAGGCAAAATGCTTATATTCCCATGGTACTGTACCTGCTTTGAAAATATACAGTAATGTGGCCATCAAGAGGAGACCACAAGTAAATACAGAAAAAAAAAAAAAACAAATCACTTATTTCCTGATATTTCAGCCCCTCCAAACAGAAAGAGCAGTAAAACAAGCAACATCCTAATGGTTTCTATTTAAAAATATACCAGGGCTGAGGAGATTTGTCTCACTGAATATGCATTTCACGTAACCATTTCACAGTATGAATAACTGCATTTGAAACAACCCCTGACAGCTACAGTATGAAGAGAGAACACCCTGCAGTTTCACCGCACTGTGCTCAGTGACCTGCAGTAGATGAGCAGCAATATAGGACAGGGGGGCAGCCTCTGCCCAAGTAGCCCCCCAGCACTCTTGGAACAAACATATCCCCCACTCCATCCCATGGCACTGCAAGAAAGTATAGGAAAAAAATGTAATTATTTGAACAACTGACTGAAGCTCCCCTACACCAACACCCTAACCATGCCAAGGCAGGACTTCAGAAGGCACAGCACAGGTAACCAAGCAATGGCAAGTGCCATTTCTGCTGCACACCTCTCAAGTCCAAGATGAGGAAGAAGAGAAGGAGCAAATAGATTCACCTAAAGAAAGGAAAAACTAGGAAGAAACAAGTTGAAGATTTAAACAGGTATTCCCTTGTCTTTTAAACAAAAATGGAAGGTTGTGGTTGCAAAAAGCCCTTAAAAAAATCATCACTCATTCAGGAATCATCACTCTAACAGACCCAAGCAGCAGGCATTTGTCCTGTATTTCTGTAAAGGGGGAAAACAAATATATCCTTATTCCTGTGAAGTTTGCAGGGTCACACAGCAGAAACCAGTCCTTAGCACTTTGAGGAGTTTTAAGTACTAACACATCTCCATCCCACCAAACTGCTGTAAAAAAAAAAACAACAACTGAGGTCCTTCCTGCAAGACTAGATGACTCAAAGTTGAAGTCAGAAAATCCCTTCAACTATGGTCAGAGCTAGAGAGGAGCCTCTAACAACAAAGCAGTAATTACACATGATAATCTATTTATTGACGATTTAATTTTCCACTTGGGAGTCCAGTCACTCATACCCCTCCCTCCACCTGCTCTCCTTCCCCCCTACTCACCTCTTCCATATATAGGGCATTTATCAGTTATCCACATCATACTAGGTCTACCTTTCTCCTAGAGAACTTCCAAATGAGCAAGACCTGTGTCATCACCACACACAGCATGACCATCCTCTCTGGTTTAGAACAGTTCTGCTCTTAACAGAGGACTTGGTGTACACTCAAGGTCATTCCCCAAATTACAGGGACAGTAATCTTCTGCATATAGTTAAAATGTCATTAGCCCTCCGTATACACCATGTTGGTTTCTCACATTCCCTGATAATACACCGCCATTTATGCTCCACATCACAGCTCTGCACATTTAGCAATTCCATTCCCTGCTAGCAATATTTGACAATAAGAGCATTTTAAAGAAGGCTAATTACAAATTTCACTTGAACAGAAATTGGTACTGGGCCAATCTATAAGCTTTTTAATAAGCTTTCAAACTTCACACCAGGGAAGACTGTTCTCCACCAGGAGCAGTGACATAGCTCTAAAAGCAAAGGTGGAAATCTTGCCACTGCAAGATGAGGAGGGAAGGTCACAGCTCTGATTCTCCTTGCAGCACTGCACCTTCTCCATGTGACTCTTTCCTTGAAAATATGCTGCCCATGTTTCATGAACAAAAAAACTAAAAAAGACAGTTCAGATACCATGAAAATAATGAAAAGCAGTATCAAAAACCCCTTGGTTCACAGTTTTATCAGAAGAGGAACAAAGACCAGTATGACAGAAAGCAGGTCAAGGACTCAAAAGCTAGAAATTCATAAAATTAAGGATGCATGGTCACACACATGCTTGAAGCATGGCATTTTCTGAGAACAACGGTGTCTCTAGATGGACTCCCAGTTTTCAAAGGGATAGAAGAACCCAAGGCAAAGTTTCTCAAGCACTTCAGCACCTAGTCTCATATCAGGACAAATTTTTTCTGTCTATATATACACCAGACTTAGCACAGAAAACAGCAATCCCACCTATGGATGCTTCTTACCACCTTTGTACTGCTGCCACTTTTTCCCTCTGTGTTCAAAGTACGTGGTGAAATAACATTTCAGCCAGATCATTTTTCTGAGGGGAAGATTCTGCAAACCACCCTCTGTGCTACCCGCTCGATAACCAAGGTGGAACTGAAAAGGGTAGTTGATAAAGTCATGGTCAACAGAACATTGGTCCTGTTTTAAGGGTACAAGACTAGCTCCCAGGAAAACTACAGAAGGGCTTTCTGTGCAAGATTCAAGACAAGTCATAATTTTTCCCTGTGGTCAGTGACTATGTGGCATCACAAGGAGATGTCACACCTGACACACTGAAATACTGCTGTCAGAGTGGCTGACTGCCCAGAGAATCCCAGCTGGAATCTGTGCTAACCATGTGCACCAAGTACACAGTTGTTGGGAAGTCTCCAACTGTGAGCTCAACCCACAGACACTAGAAAAAGAAGAGTTGTGAGTGTTACACATGTAAAGCGCACACATGAATAATATCTATTTGACAGAGATTAAACCCATGAATATGTAAAACATCCTTAGTTTTTAACGTACCTAAACATTTTCCCCATTAGGAGGTTCCACACTAAAAGAATGATTTGGGATGGTAGTAAACTCTTCTATACGCAGGCGAGCCTTTAAGAGGCCAACAGAACCACTCTTGCAAAAGGGCTACATACCTACTCCCTACACACTATTAAAACACATTTTCATCACCTCGGAGACTTCTTTGGGGACAGGAAGTCATGGTACAACTGCAAGCATTTTGAAAGGCAAACCATAAGTTCTGACCACTGCCCGATCTCTAAAAGCTGAGAGTAAAAAAGTGGCAGGAAAGGAGCTATCTTTTTCCAGTCTTATTCTCTCAATTCATGCATATTCACGCATATTTTACTGACATGTTTGCAGGGTTTTCCAACTAATTATAGATCTAGTGGGAAGAATTTAACCTAGAACCTCAAGATTATCAAAACATGAGTACCTGAACACAGACTACCAGAGCAGGAAACAAGAAGAAACCTAATATGTGTGTTAATAAATGCTCTAATTATTAATGTGTGCACACACCAAGCTTATCAGAAGTGCCAAGGCAGTTGAAAGGAAAAGCACTATTCAAAGACAGCCATTTGCCAGCAACTCTATCATCACCATATTCTCTAGTTGGTTTTGATTGAATTCAGTGACATCAACTTAATCCCACAGGACAGTATCATTCACTTTTATAATAGCTACTGACCTTATTTCTGTGTTTGAGCCCTGTTGTAGTGTCATGGCTAAATGTGGCAAGCAACAAATCTCACTCTGTCAGCAGCCAGCGCCTGTCCTTTCTCCTTTTAGAGCTTTCATTCATTTCTGCAATTTTTTTTAAAGTCATGCTGCTTCAAAACAGCTGATCCAGATGGTGGATATTTGGATTTCAACCTTCCCACATGGTGATGTGGCTCAAGAAAATAAAAACTGTTGCTACCTGCTGCTGACCTACTTTAATTTGCTTCCTGCCATACAAAAGAATAAAGAATACAGTTCATTGAACTAGTCTTCCACACCTACCAACTGTTATGTAGGAAATATAAAATTAAGAGAGAAAGGAGATGGAAAGAAAAAAAAAACGGCAGCATGATCCCATGGAGAGTAGGGGGGAGCAATTCTCACCTCTATCGTAGTCATCTTCCTCTATTGCTTTTTCCTGAAGCCTCTGAAGCCGTAAGATCAAGGATTTTATCTAGGCAAAGAAAAAAAAGTTAATTATGAAGAAGAAGCTGCATTTAAAAATATTTAGACTATTAACCTCTACATAATATAATGGCTTACTAAATCACTACAATGACCAAATTTTGATAATTAAGCCCAGTATTTGTTAATTAGACAGACCTATTTGGAAGTCAGTTGAACTGAAGCTACTTGAGCCAAGCATGGCTTTAGTCCAAACACATACAGAGAATAACAAATGATATTTCTTGAAAAGCAAAGGAGATCATGTGATCACAGGATATTTTTCACCCTTTGACTAAATCAAAGTAGGATTATTAGAGGATTCTGTCAGTATGACATATACTTCTGATCACACTGTACTCAACAGTGTGTTCCCGAGCCCATTCCAACAATTTTTTCCCTAAGTTTTGCACAGAATACAATATTTCCATATGCAAACCACATTTTATTCTGTAACTAGAAAGAGAAATGCAGTATGAATATTTTGGAACAGGTATACTCATGTTATGGGTCAGAAGACAGTATTCATATACACCCAACAAAGTTTCATTAAAATACAATTTAGGTTCATCTACATAATGTCGATGTTTGCATTTTCAGTTCACAATCCAAATGCTGGATGAAGAAAAAAGCAGAACACCAAGAATACCTAAACCACATACAGACAGCTCTCTCACACCCAAAAAAAACTTCTGCCATAATAAAGTTTTATTTCAAAAGCTAATGCTTCTCTTTGTTAACATCAAAGAGTCTGGAATAAAGTTCTAAATTTACTAAAAATTTGTAAGGCTAGGTGTGCATTCCAAGGCCTTTACAAGTTTTTACTGTAAAAAGAAATTAGTTAGAAGGCAGGTTTAGTCCTCTCCTCATTGCCATGCTAGCCATAGCCTAGCAGGGCTACAGTTACAAGACTGAAATGTGTTTCTTTTTTATTAAATTTATACATGACAGGTACCAAACAAGCCAATATCAGCACTGAAAAAGGTAAGCCTGGAAAAAAAGCAGCATATATTCCTAGAGTCCAAAGCCTGAAAGTGCTTGGGAAAGCATTTTCCAACCCAACAAAATCCATGCTTTAGACATTCTGCATTTACAGAGTACTTCACTCCTCCCTGAAACTCTTTCATATTTAATCCCTATATTTAAACTCTAAATTGAATAGAGAAAAAGAGGTACAGCCAGTCAACAACTTCATAGAAGCACTCAGTTATTGAGACTACACAATCAACACACAAATTAGGCAAGACCTTTAAATTCAGGATATCCCTTCTAAACATGGTATGTGAAAGTGGACTAGTCAGAAAAGAACTATAAAAAATAAAGCCAGGAAAGTATCCAAAAATGATTGATTAATAATAGGCTATAGGATGGCCCAGAAGAAAAACAAACACAAAACATTGTATACATTCCCATTTCCTCAAGGTTTTATTTTATTTTGGTTTTCATATCCTGAAACTCCAGTCTTTTTTCTCTGATGCTGCTGAGGAATGTGTAAGATACTGAAGGGAGGAGCTCTGAATTCTCATCGTAAACTATTTTCTGTATTTTATGCCTGACTTTTGACAGAGCTTTAAAGAAGCCTGCAGTAGGAATGATTCAAATGACACCTTTTTTTCACATATATGATGTATAACAACCATCTATACTGCAATACAGCTTTGCTGCTGTTTGCAGTGTTTATTCCATCATGTGCTACAGAGGCAGGTCATTTAAAGTCTGCTTGGGTACCACAGCCCAGGCTCGCCCACGGCAAACTGACTGATGCTGTCACAATGAAATGTTTTTTATTTGCAGGCTGATAAGACATTTGGAGCTCAATTCATCAAAGAGCTGCTTCAGCGTGGCATGTCCTATATCTGTACCAGGTGATGATCACTTTTATTTTTAAGTACAGAGAACGCATAATTTTAACAATTTTGGTATTGTCTCCTTTTCTTGACTGCAGTTGCCTTCGTTCCTTTCTGAAAACTTTAAGACTTGCTCGTTATCATTACAATAGGAAGGTGCTTCTAATTAAACATACACGACTGGCTAACCAAGGGCAAAGACATCTGAGGGCACAAATCCCCAGTTCTCCTTTCAACAAATTAATGAATACAGAAATTAAAGATAGCAATGTTTCATTTGCGCCTATCAAAAAAAGTACTGAAAGGAAAGAAAAATAAATTCCTATTTTGATTATGTTATATATTCCCAAATTTGTAGCAAATGAATTTCCCAAACCATCCCAGACCACAGGCACGTTGTCATTCCAGGCATGAAGCCAAAGAAACTGCTCCATGTCAATGTGTGTGAAGTCTATAAATAACAGAACCTAGTTTGAGTTCTACATGAATCCTCTATGGAAAGAAAGTATTAGAGAGCATTGCAGGCCCAGGTCAGATGTCATGCAGAAAAAAAGCAATAGTAAAAGTTTCTCAACCTTCTGTCTTACCCAGACAGCAGGGTTGTGCTAAGTCTCCCCAGAGCAAGTTGTTTCATCAGGCCTAAAGACAATACAGTGTATCTCAACAGTTATGTGTCTGAGCTGAGAAGTCAGAAGAATCTGAGTTTCTGAAAGGCACTAATGAAACAATTAAAAAAAACCAACCAACCAACCCAACAAAGAAAAACCAAACAAAAAGCCCACCACACCAGAAAAACCCCACTACCTACTCAGTGCACCTTGAACAAATTAGTGAAATACACTGTGTCCATATTAATCTCTAGATTACTGCTTCCTGGTTGCATAACAAATCTAGTATTTGGTTCCTTGGAGCAGGTAAACTCAGAATTATTTTCCTCCAATGGCCACCCTGCCATCCCAGAAAACAAATAACAAAACACAGATGATCCTTCTTAAAGTTTCCTCACCCCTCTCCCATAAAGGACACAGTGAATGAATACCTGTACACATCGCAGGTATAAGTGTGGGTATATACATACATGCAGAAATAAAGACTCCTGACTCACTGCTCCACTACTCCTCTGTGGTGGAAGGAAAAAAAAAAAACACAAATCATTCCATTCCCAGCTGGAGGCAGAGAGGGACTTGACCCCCATTTTTATTCATGTGGGGAGAATACCCATCTCTTAGATTACATGCTACTCTCACACAGTTGCCTCACTCCAAGAAATCTGTAGCTAAACTTAAACATTTCCAGTTAAAAAGTTTTATGTTGTTAAATCATGATGCTTCAAGAAAAGTTATTATCATCCCCGAATTTTGTACTACATATACCCCAAACTGCAGAAAAAACAGCCACCTGTGAAAGAAAACGGTGCTTAATGAACTCAGAAACTGATGTGTGACATTAGAAGTGAGTTTCAGGTGAACACAGAATAGGTACTGCAACGACATCACCTTTTTTCTGAAGAACCAAACAAAACCTGTTGTCTCACTTTTATCATACAGAGCACTACTGTAAAACTCTTTGAACAAATGCTACAAAAGCCATTAGTACCTGAACTCCAACATAAACTTTGATTTCAGAACTATAAATAAAAATGTTTTGAGGGACAGGGAGAGGAATCAAAACCAAAGTGAGATTACTGACCTTTAGTGTACTGCGGTTGCCAAGCAAGCAATCCTGCAGCACTGGTTCATATTTTTTCATCAAAATATCCCAGTTACGGTCACTAACAGTAAAGCTACTTTCATAGCCTGAGGTGACAGAAGAGCCAGCAGATGCTGCATCCAAGGAATCTGTAGAATATGAAAATGTTGCATCTATATCTGAGAGAGAGAGAGTCTCACAGTCCTGGAATTTATCATTCACAGGGCTCTCATGTTCATGCTCCAAATCCTCACTGGACCTGGAGAAGCAACATGAATCTCCCAAGTTCTCATGAGTTTGTGACATCTCTTCTGGCTTCTGCAGACTTCCTGTGGTTTTGGGATGCAGAACAATCTCAGTTTCCTCAACAGTTGATTTGCCTTCAACATCATTTACTCCAGAGGCCGAGTTCAGGGAGAGCTGTATGAAGCTGAAACTTGAACTAAAACTATCTAAACTATTGTGTGCAACAGCAGAATGAGAAATATCATCTCTGTTTTGATATTCACAGTTGTTATTCACTTCTGTCCGATCCAAAGCATACATGTTTGGGGGCTTGTTCACTTTAGCACTGTGGCTTTTCTGCCGTGTACAGCATACAGCAGAAACATCTCCTTTGCTTGTTGCGGCAGCAGAGCAAGCTGCTGTCACTGTGTTTTCTGATCGTAGACTCTTGCAACACGATAGATTTTTGCAGCATCCTGGCATATTTCCAGTAGTGGCCAACATTGTTACCCCATCAGCAGGAACTACAGTGCTACTAACTTCACTACAGCACAGGAATTCGAAGTTATTTTGGCATTGTCTGCATAGAGCGCAGTTCTCAAAGTCTCCACAACCCTGCCTTCCATGTTGCAGCTCTCCTGGTCTGGATGGTTTGCAGGCACCAAGGGACTGAAACTCTATCCGTTGCTGAGCTTCTGGTCTCATGTATCCAGGTCTTTTTGCCAGCTTCTTTTTACGAAGGGAGCCTGCAGGCATTAATTGCTGGTGATCATCTGGGGGAGGGAAAAAGAGTCCATGAAATGCTTCTGCAGTTTTATAAGCTTAACACATTGTAGCATCTGAAAATAGTTGTTTCTGAAATTTCAAGCAGCGCGCATTGCTTTCCATTTCAACGAAACAAAGACAATGACCATACTGCAGATAGAGAACACTGCATGTATTCATTCACTTTCTAAAGAATTGGTACCTGGTTTTAAGTGAACTCACTAACACAGTCTTGTCCATCAGGACACAAACCTGGGTACAATGAATCACATCATCTTCCCTATTCACAATACCAGTCTACTTTTTCATTCTCAACTTGCTTAACAGCACATTAAAGGACAGATTTTTAAGTCTCTCTGATTCAGAATTATGGCAGACTTACAAGCACATGTAAGACAGGACTGAATCTGCATCCAACAAGGTGAGAACCATACTCACAAAGAAATTTTGTTCATAACCTATTGTTGCTTGTGTCCAGTTTCTTGTGTCCATATCCATGCTTTAATAGTATGAGGAGCAAGTGATTCAGATTCTGCTTCCGGAACAGATGCAATTCTGTAGCACCTTGTAGTTGCAGATATCAGTCTAATGAAATATTGTAGAAGTTGTCATTTAGATTTATGGTACTACCTATCGTGCAAAACACAGAGTTAAAGGAGAAGCTTTGCATGCAGAACCATCAGTCCTAGAAAACAAATGCTTTCTAGCATTACTGAAGTATTAGTATCATTAAGGAAGGGCCTTTGTTCAATAACTATTTCTCCACACATACCTCACTTACATAGATGAAAAGATAAATTTGCTGTTTGCAGAGAAGAGAAAACAAACAAAAAATCAACCAGAAAAACCCATGATATAAATCACAGTGAACATTAAAAGCAGGACATCAGAATTGATGTCCTGTCTATGTTTTCTGTATATTTCTATATATATTATAGGTGAAAGATTATATGGCAACTACTTTCAGTTTCTCAGTTTACTGCTAGTTAAAAGGTATTCCATTTGTCTGTCCTGCACACAATAATGGGAATACAAGCTTTGCACTATCATCCATTTTGTATCATGGAAATATATTGACTGAACCTATTTGCCGGAATCACCCTTCAAGGGGATCTGATGACTAGTTGAATTATGCCCTCTACTAGCTGCCCTCTACTCACTGAAACAGAATCAAATTGCCAGAATCTCAGGTATTAGATATATTCATATCCCACACACAGAGCTCTTCCAAAAACACAAGTTTCAGATTTTTTTCTTTACATTTAATATTCATCTCTCATCACGATCCTTTGTCAATTTTTACATTGACAGATGTGCACATAATCTAAACTACTCAGCAACTCCTAACACAGGTCTCATACACACCTCACTACAATGACATCCTGTACAAGAATTTAAGCATTAGACCTGAAACTTTCCAGGAGAATTTTCCCAACATTCATTCCATTCTCTCCAAATAACCTTCAACAAAAGCAGTTGATACATTTTCCATATACTAGAATAGTGGCACATCTCACCCTGAGACTGCAGTTAGGCCTCTGTATTCTGCTTCCTATCACCATAAATTAGAATATCCCAGCTATCTCTTACATTCTCTTTTGTCTGAGGAAAAAAGCATCACAGAAATCAAAAGTAAAAAAGGTCACAGAATCCATCGGCCTGTCTACAATAACAAGACAGTGAAATGCTGTACTGGCAGCAATTTAATAGAAGTCTTAACAAACGGAAACCACTCTTGGAGCAAGGGAAAAAAATTGAATAAAATGTTCTTTAGAATTTAATTCTTTTAGTTTATATACAAAACAACAGCCTAAATTTGACTTCAGCAGAAGAAATCAGTCATGCAGAAAAAAGTCATTCTAGGACTGCATATACTTCCTCACCATTTAAAAAGGCTAGTCATAGGTCTCATCTGTAAAAACGTAAAAGATTCTCTGCTTTAATTAAAATCAGTTTAAAATTGATCTCACTAAATCACTATGAATTTCTAAAGCAGACAGATAATTACAGCTCTTTAAACACCAAATTTAAACTAAGCTAATGTAAATAGGGTTTAAATTGGCCAAAGCATTAGATATTCACACCAAGTGAACTGGATGCAATTCTAAATATTATTAGAGCCAAAGGGGTACAATTCTGGTATCCTCAACAAGTTCACACAAAACCCACACATCTCTGCAGTCCTCACAACATTTGCAAGTAACCTCCTAAGCACATTTGGCATTCAGCTCTTTTAGGGACTCCAGGTCTGTCTCCCAGTGAGTCTAGCAGCACAAGTTACCCACCTGGATACCAGAACAGACCACTGTCTGAATTATCCTCAAGATTACAGTCCAAGCCACGACCCATCCAGAGGATGCTACCAGGAGAGAGCTGCAAGTCCTTCACCCCAATGTAGCTGCCTCTGAGCACAAGGCAGAGTGGACAGAGCTGGGACCAACATGAACACTCACACCTCTGCCCAAAGGATAAGGGAGGGAGAAGGCAGTGGCCACAGCCTGATCCCCAGTTCCAGCTAGAGAGCAGTCACGGTGCCCTCAGCCATCACAAAACCCAGCTAGGAAGTTACTATGACCTTGGGCATACTCTTTGGGCATTGTTTACCCTTCTGTCATGTCCCTTTTCTCAAGATTATTCTAATTTCAGTTGTTTATCATCACCTATCTGAAATTTAGTTACAGAGACTTTGTTTCTCTGCATAGCCTCCCAACCATAGCTTGCTTTGTCTGCACATCAGATACAGAAACTACACTGAACCAATTCAGCTATCTTGTTAAATAAAGACAGGCCTCAAATTCATCTTATAATTCTCTCAGTTTCAAGAACATCAAATAACATTTGGCAATTAACTACAAGACTATCAGAATGGAAACAACTGAAGGTAATTTTTAAATCCTACATAATAGTGTTTCATGCATTATATCAGACACGCGTTTAGAAAAAGAGTAAAGTCCCAAATGGAAGAGCCTTTTGATTGTAATATTACAAATCAACTTCTAAAAAAATATATTTTACAATCTTAGAAGATGATACAACATATATTCTAATGGCAAGTATGTGCAAATTACTTCAAATTATGAAAGCCCAGAAATAATCATAACAGCTCTTTCACCACAGCAATCTTTCCTGATGACCAATATTTCATAAAAGCTAACAGTTCACATCCAGAGCACAGGAAAAAAGAAAATAGTCTACTGCTGTAAAGCAATGTTGTTCACATCTTAGTCCACACCAGTGAGATGAAAGAGGGAGAGGTGAAGCCAAAGAGCATTTCCCACTGATGAAAAGAGCACATTCTCTTGTACCCAGCCTGATGCTGAAGAACAATCATTTAATTTATTTTAGATCACCTCCTCACACCTGCTTTAAGCATGTAATGCAAAATGCTTGGAAGCTCATCAAGTCCTTTCTGAAAGTAAGTGAGAAATTATATATGCAGTTTTTAAAGACAGTTCGACTATCTGAATACACATATATTACAACTGATTTTTATTGGAATAACAAATTCCCCTTCACAGCATTTGTGGGTGGTAACTGTGGTGGGGAGGAAAAGGTATTTAGTCATATTCAAAGCCAACTATCAAAGTACTGCTCCAAGCAATTTCTGTAGTGCTGCTTTTGTTAAGGAAGCCTTAAACACCTGCATCAAACTGTACACAAACAAAGTAAGTGAGGTGAAAATATTTATTATTTACAAACACATACACAAATGTTTAACCTATCAGGAACAAAAATGAACCGTTCTGAGGGATTAATCAATCTGACATGACAATAACTATTACTGTTCAGTTCCCAAGTCATAGAAATACATAAAATGTTGCAGGTTCTTAACCGGTTACAGTTTGACTCATTTGCTGAATTTCAGAGATACCACTAAATATTCAAAATAAGATGGCACTGATCCCAACATAGCCTCTGTTAAAACTACTGTTACAGAAGTCTCAACCAAAAAAAAAAGCCAGGAAAGCCCAAGACCTTTGCAATTAACATCAGTGTAATCCTGTTACAGACACTCGTCACACTTCTCGTTCTCCAGCTGTTATTACATCTCACTTCCCAAATTCATCTGTGGTTGATGAGCCTCAACCCAAATCACTCTCCAAACCTCCTTACACAACCCACTGATATATTTCACCCAACCCACGGATATCCACCTTGGCTAGCTAGAACTGCCAAACTCACATAACTAGCTGCCTAACAACAGTTTTTAGGCTCCTCAGTCATCACTTACCCTACACCCAGCTCTGCAATCCATCCTGTCGACCATCTGATGGACAACAAAACACCGTGGGAGGAGAACACAAGTAGGTCTGGAAGAACAAGCCAGTACCAGCACTGGGTGCCTTCAGCAGAGTCAATAACAGAAGGCACTTCCCCACAAATATCCAGCCCAATTTTTTCCAAACCTTTAAGTATAATTCTCTTTAACTTCTAGGTAAATAACTGAGAATAATTTATCCAGTTTTCAAAGAGGTAGATGGACACACAAGTTGCAAGCCTACAGAGAATATTCACAATAGAAAAATCAATGCTTATTTCAGGAGTTGGGGGTGTGTGTGTAAATTTTCTTGTTCTTCATGGAGAAAAAACGTTTTGTTCCCTGTTTCAATGCAAAATTCTGTAGAGGCAGCCCATGCAAATGTCTAAAGTGGAGAGAACACCCTGTTCTTTCCGTCAAGATCTGACAACAGCTTTAAATATTACACAGAAATAGGGGAGCAAGGATATTGCATAGAAACTGTGAAGTTTGCTTAGGTCATAAATTAATTTGCAAACAACACTTAATGGGTTTGCAATCATATCTTATAAAAGTATTTCACCAAACGCGTGAAACTGCGAAATTAGTACACAGCAGTCCTTTTCAAGAATGGTCTATTTAACACAACACACTTCTCTTTCATCACTCTGTCTACAGAGTGACAGCATGGATTCCCACTGCTTCTGCTCAGTCAGATCATCTACAGCAAGACTCTAATATAAAACTCATCGGGGGGGAGGGGGAAAGAATTTTAAAAAAAAAGTGAAGTGTGAGAGCACATTGACAGCAGTCAATTTCTAATTCAAGCACAGTTTGAGTGCTCCAGCTTGGAGATTTGAATTTTTAATTTCACCAAGAGAGCAGGTTCCAAATTAAGCATCTGATGCACAGTCAGTCTGAAACCAGAATTGAGTTTACTGAAATAGAAAGTAATTTTCTCTTAACAGCTCAGTAGTGATCACTATAATGAAAATAAAACAACGTGGCAGTTCCTATATTGCCAAGGGTGAGGAGTCCGGATTCTTTTAGCTTTACAATTTAATATCAGTCCTAGGAAAAATACTCCTCCTTTGCCTGATGAAAGAAGTTCACCTTACAGCCCCAGTCTGGCTGTCAGATGCAATGCCCATGAGGTCTAGGCAACAATAGAGAGGGAATGGAGCTCCAGACACAAGGAAACCTGAGCACTAAGTTCCCACAGAAAGCACACCACCCCAGGATGCAGCTTAAATATAAGATACTATAAAAGCCAGGCATGAACACAGACTGCAGTTACAACTGTGCTCAGGACACAAGGCCAACCTGTAGCTAGAAGGAAAGC